ACTATTTTGCTAGCCTTTTATCCGCAGCTTTTTATCAGACCTAGCTTGTACAAGCACACTCACACATGGCTAAATCAAATATGTGATTCTTCTTTAATCTGAGAGATGTAGGCTCCTGCCTGTTGGTGGAGCAGCGAGAGTATCTAACAGAAGGAAAGGAGGCATCCCAGGGAGTATCCAGATTTCTTTGTCTCTAGAGATTTTGTCCAACATGCCAGTAAAAGAGGAGGAGACAAATCTTGGTAGTTCTATGAGGAATTAGGGTAGAAAGTGACTCAGCAGTTCCCTCCCTACTACTTCGATGGGAAAAAGAAAACAGAAAAATAGTGGCTACCTTAAAAGTCTAAAAAAATCCTGAAAGTGTTCAGAATTTCTCAAGAAAAACCTTCATAACATTCTCCTGGAAGTCACTGTAGGGAGAGAGGGGGGATGTGTCTCAGTTCAGTTCATATTAATGCATATAGCCTTCTGTGTTTGCTTGGGAATATGAGCTCTTCCCATAGGTATTTCTTCTGTTTTCTCAATCCTCCTCCTTTTACTGTGTCCACTGTGAGATGAAGCAACGTCACACTGCCATAAACTCCAAAATGGCTGCTCCTAAAATTGGTGTGTTCCTCTCTCTCAGGATTGCTTCACAGTAATCTCTGGTAATGACTACAGTACAGCACAAATGCTACCAGATAGTTTGTGGAGCAAGTTGACATTTTAAGGGTTGGAAAATACATGAGAAAAAAATGCATCACTGTTCACCGACTGAAATAAGTTTTGTCCTTGGCTAACTGCTTTTAAATCACAATGACATCATTGATAGCTTTTTGCTATATTTCGAAGGGCAAAGTTTTTCCTGTAATGCTTTATCAAATTATTACTTTGTTCAGTTTATCGAAGATAAGATATCTGAGATTAATTATTAACTTTAAATGCTTTAATCTGTTCAGTCTTACTGCATGACTTTTTATAACTGAAATATTGTTTTGTTCATACTGACTCTCTCACTATTTTTGAGGATATTTTCCTGTCTGTAACAACCTTGCAGTAGACTAGGATTGGGATTTTGTGTGAATTCTGAACAGCTGCTTCAGTGGAGCAATTTATAACTTTTTAAGGAATGGTATGAAGACAGATGGTCCCTGAGGAAACTCCCTCTGCATCGTGCCTGGAGCAGCCTCTGCTGTTCCCTTTTATGGAGGGCCCCGGGCTCCTTGAGTTCTAGGAAGATGTTCGTGACCAGTGCTGTATTTACTCCAGCTCTTCAGCAGGCCCTTTGCAGAGGGGCAAGGCTTCATGAGTCTTTGGGAAATATCCCAGCATGAGGGAGGTTCTTTCCCCATTAGACTGTCCCAGCTCTGCATACTGAGGAGCCAAAGCCAGAGGGCCTCTCTGCCATGCAAGATTTGTACCGTCCCCTTCTCTGAGCAGAGCTAGGAGTTCCTTTCAGAGCACGCACCACCAGCGCAGATAGATGGAAGCTGCATGACGTTGGAGTAAAATTTTTGCAGAAGTCTTTCTAAGAGGCAAGTCTTAGAGAAGTTGTCTTGTTATTTTAAGCATGTTTGATACCTCTACTGAAAGTGTGAGATCATCTACCACCACGTTTAAAAAAAAAAAAAAAAAAAAAAAAAAAAAAAAGAAAAAAAAAAAAAAAGTTGGGTTCCCAAATTGAGAAAGAGAACAGATAAGGTGTTAGCTTTTTATTGTTATTGCTGTTTGAAATTTCCCTGAAGGAAGACGTGGGCAAGAATCATTACCTCAGTAAACCGGTTAAACAGGAAGGAAAGCTTCTGACGAAGAAGTTACACCCCCTTGATACTGAAAGCATATAGTTCATCTGGATGTGTCTGTGAACAGGAAGGCATAGGAGACTGTATATACTTCTAACAAATTATGTGTTTCAGGTAAGAGGTTGCAACAAATATTCTTACTGCTTAGGAAGTGGCCCAATCCTCTCCTGCGTTCCGGTGAAAAGGGAAAATTGAGCCCACAGTGCACCAAGCTTTATACTAGAATGTATGTGCATGATGAAGTAAGGAATGTATTTTCGTGTGCTTGAACGGCAACTACAATGTTGTGAGCATTGTCTGATGCTGTCAAATCTCTTGATTTGTACTGAATATTTTACGCTATTTGTTGGGATTCTCCCTTAAAACCACTGAACTCAGAACGACATGATTATGTGAAAACATGGCTGTCATTTAAAAGGAAAAGGAGGGTTTCATAGCTGTGGGAGAAAAAAGCCAAACTCTTCAAAATGTGAATTCAGAAACAACAAGGCAAAGAAAATGAACCTAAAAACTTAACTTTTTTAAAAAAAAATGCATTATAAATTTTACCTCATTAGTGATTTTTGAAAATTCAATGTTATCAATACACTTTGCACAATTCAAATGGAGTAATAGTGGCTGGCAAAGAGCCAATTCCTTTCCTGAACTTTGTATGCTGTTTTAAAAAGCCTCAGGTTTTGGCCAAATACAGAGCCTAGTCTTACTAACTGAACTAGCAAGTAAGACTTAAACCATAGAGATTTACAACATGGCACACTGAGTTTCTAGTCTAAATGGTTAGCTTTAAATGCAAGCCTATATAAAAGAGACACAGTGCTACAAATAGTGCTGTACAAGGGTCTGCTCCCTGCTAGGCCCTCCCTCTGCCGTGATCCAGTCTGGGAGAGGGAGCCTGCTGCATCGTGCAGACTTCTTGATACTCACGTGGACTTCCCAGTCCACTGAGAACAGGGAAGCAGAACGCATAGACCAGCCTTTGGCACTATAGCTAAACTGCATGCTTTTAAAGACCACCAGGAAAGCAGTAGTTCTCCTGAACAGTGTGGAGAGTGCAGGAGATAAGCATTCTTATACAGATAGATGGAGGTGGGCTCTACGTGTGTGAATATTTGTCCGTTGGAGAAATAGGGGATGCTACACATAAAAGTGTTAGAGGTGAATGAACAGGGTTAGCTGTTAGACATTTATGTATCATTATAAACAGAATTTGTTTGAAATGTAAAAAAAAAATAAAATAAAATAATTAGAAACAGTTGAAAGGGCGTAAAAGGCATGGTATTTTCTGTGCCTTAATTATAGTCTTTCAGGTAGCCAAAATTTATTAAGGAAGATGGGGCTGGAGGGAGATATCATTCTTTTATCTTTTATTTTTCCTTTAACATTCCAATTTTCAAGGCAGGAAAAAAAAAAGACATCCTTGATTTAATAGATGTATCTTTTTCTTTCTTTTTTTTTCCTTTTTATTTACCTGCTGTAGAAATGAGAAACAGAGGAAGTTGTAAATGAGAACAATTTCATTTTAAAAAGTTGTTATTGCTATGCTTATTAATTTTTTCTGCAAAAAAGCATGTCATCTTAATCTAAAAATGTTGCGAACTTCAGGATTCACCCTGAGAGAAAGGTGCAGAGACTGTAATTGAAGTTCAGGCTTAGATCACCATTCAAAGTGGTAGGTATCACTTTGGTTATCTGGCTTAGCATAACTTCATAAATGCTTTTTTTTTTTTTTCAACACGGTTAAAGCAAACCAAAGCACACAACATGTGGAATCACTAAGTAGAGTGCTTGAAAAAGTAGTTCCACCTCTAACCTGGAGATTTTATTTCAGCCTATTTAACTTTTCATTTCTCTTCTCATTCCTCACTGTGGGTGACAGAAGCCTATGTCACCTAGAGTTTGACTTCAAATGGAACAAAAATAAATAAAGTTGTGATGAATACCTTCTGTTGTAATATTGATTCTCATTGCGAGGTACTATTATCTAAACTAATACAGTATAGATCTTGGGGACATACTGGAAAAGCTATTTGTGGAGCTAAGCTTTAGCAATTTCTGAGCATGCTTTTTATCTCAGTAGCCTTTTTTTTTTTCCTGCTAGGGAACATATATTTTTTATTGAATTATTAAATCAGATGTTTCTATTTCTTTTATGTGATAAAGTACCTGGCACAACAGTGTACTTTATGTAGTATTGCTATTCTGTGTCATTTGTGTTTTTAGGCTGCATCTGTGTCAGTAAATGAAATAGGCCAAGGCCTTGAGGGCAAGTGGCCCAGAATAGATTTTGGTCTTAGTACTAAACTCTTTTCCTAAAAAAGATACCCTCATGCCTACTGACAGAAGTCTCCAGTACATGCTGCCCATTTCAACCATAGGACTACTGAGCACATGCCAAAATCATATCAGGAAGTTTGCTAGTAACAGCATGAATGATGGTGAGCTTCTGCAGAGGTTCATGCCTTTGCCTGTTAATTTGTTAAAAAAGATACAACCTCAGTCTTTGAAGATACATCTGCTTTGAAAAACAAAGAAACAAAAAGGCTTAAATTGATTTATTTATATTTGTTTTCCTTTTTATATGCCATATCCAAGCTTTTGAGGTGTAGTGTTTTGAATATTAATTGAAGATCCATGTCTTCTGTGTTATTTGACTTAACTTTCTTGAACTGATTACACTGAGATAAAAAGTGGTTGAATATGAAGGAATTTGAGGCACAAAATAAGAGGAAGATGTGAAGGAAATGGCCATTAAAGCAACCATTGATACGAAGCTTTCCTACCTGCTTGTTTTAGATTCCTGCATTATGTGCTATACAAGTGTAAAATAATGGAAATAATACAGAGATTTTATTTAAAATTTGTCAGAATTAATATCTTAATATTTAGATCAATTGTTTCAGGTATCCTGTTGCTGCTATTTAGGAGTTCAGGATAACAATAATAATTTAATAATAATATGTCTGAAAATAAGGATCAGGCAAAAGAATATTCAAGCTCCAGATGAAGAAAATCTTTCCACCCTGTGGAGAAAGCTCTAAAGCAAAAAAAAGACCAAAGTAGTGTACTGCTTTCATTATACTAGATATTTTGGGGTTTAACTTCTATTCTGTTCTTCATTTCAGTGGGTATGTAGCTCCAGTTCTGAACATTACTCTCTTGATCTTGGAACTATTGTAAGACTTTCCTGAGGATTAATAAGACCAAAGAGAAGAATCAGCCATGGCATACTTTGGGAGAGTGCCTTTCTCACACAATGAATTTGGTGAAGGACAAGCTGGGGACCAAGCATTGTACCCAATGTACCATTCTGGTTCTGCTGGAGAGGTCTGTTTAGGATTTGATCGAATAGTTGATGAAGTCAACAATGAATTTTTTTTTTATGGTTCATCACTTTCACATCATCGTGAAGAAATTTATTTCCCATCAGACATCTTTGGTCTGAATGTGCCTGAGCAGCAGTTTTGTGGTCAGCCTCCAGTTGCTTATGGCGAACTTTACCCTGGAAATCCTGTCTCTCCCTGGCAACAAGGCACAGTGTCACCAACACTTGGCTTCAGACCTTCTTTGCTGTCTGATTACAGAAACTTCTCTCTGGTGGATCCTTACCCCTACAGTCAAGAGAGAGAACTCTATGGAGGGAATAGTATAACTCCGGTCACAAATGTGTTTGATTCAAATGTGGAAAGAGGCAAAACAAATCTGAGTTTTCAGATAGGTTTTGACAGTGGAGATGCTCAGTGTCCCATTTTCTTAGACAACTATCCATTTGGACGAGAAGTGAGTGATGAAAGTGGAAATGGGGAAGCTTGTTTAACCAACACTTCCAGAAGATGCAACATAGGACCTACTTGGCCCAGCAGCTCTGAACATGACAGAGAGGTATTTAAATTTTCTTATATTAACAGTGCTTAAAGTTCTCGACTGTTGTTTGTGTCCTTGCACTTTGTGTATTCACTCATACTGATGCAACATGGATTAGAAGCACTTGATTTAAAGACCTTATGAAAAATATAACACTTATGCCTTGGGTGAAGCAAAAGCTTTTGCTCCTGTAGAGAGTTTTTGTCATGTGTCTCACTATTCAACTGGCCAAAAGCAACTGCAAGACTTGTTATTCACATCTTATTTGGTCTTAACTACTTCCAAAGACAGAGATGTAAGGAAGTGTCAGGTATGTTTTCCGATAATTGTGTATCTTGATTTCTTGGCAGTCAGAATTTCCCAGTGTTTTTGTACGTTTACAAGGAGGATGCCTTCAAACAAACTTTACGTGATTAGTTAAGAGGTTTTTATACAGTATGAAAACCTCTGAGCATCCTCTTCCTTTGATTCTAATATCAGAAGAGAACCCAGCAGACCATAAAAAATCACTTTTGAATGGAAGGTGACTACTGTGGCTAGCTAATGAGGATTTTATACTGGCAGAGTCCCTGTCCTACCTGTTTCATGTTTTAACCAACTTATACTTAAAATGTCAATGTATATCTGCAACTTACCTATTAAAAAAAGACTTCATTTTAAAGTAATAGGGCCAGTTCCTCACCTAATATGAAATGAAGTATCTCCATTGACTCTAATGGAAACTTGCCATTTTACACCAGAAGAGAATCTAGATTATGGTCTAGAATGCTCCAGTAGGCTCATTCTATGGCTCACTGAACCATAAAACTACCACAGAGGGATAAGTACAGAAATATAGAGTAAGATGTGTTTGAAAGAAATAAGATAACAAATCTTCATGGTCTGATATGAAACCTGGGATTCAAAATAACAATACATTATGCTGAATCTGTTTTTCTGTTAAGCCAGATTGTTGTCTCTGTGTCTAGTTTGGCTGACGTATCCTGATCATGTGAGTTTATACATACTATGTCCTGCATGCACTTATGTGTGCATATATAATTTTCTAAAAATAAACATATCTACTATAACTGTGGAAGCTGGATCCTATGACACATACTCTGTCTTTAGCTTTCTTTTTGAAGGAAATACTTTATCTTTTTTTCCTCCTTCCATCAGGTGTTCCTAGCTTCAGTCGTGGTTTTGCTGTTTTTAATAACGATGTCTTATGGGACTCCCATAACTCTCTCTGATGTTATATCTCTCCTCATTTTCTTTCTTTCAAAATCCTGACATAGAGAAGGAAAAAAAAAAAAAGAAAAAGATAAACCCTCCCTTTCCTCTAGTCCTTGTTAGCATTCTGAATCATTATAGGAATCCTGAAATATCTTACAGGATATCTCTGCACTGTTAATATTAAAAGACAGTTTAGGTTCACCTTTTGCTTTTAACTCCCAGTGATCACAGTATCATAAAGCAAAGGGGAAGAGACACTTGATTGACTTGTTTCTATGTCTGTAAATAGGGAGAACTATAGAAGTAAACATAGTCAGACCCAGACAGATGGGGGACGAGGAATATATCTGAGAACAGGCACTCTGAAGACTAATCCTGGGCACCACATTTTGGAAGTTCAGTGATGAATACAAAAGAGGAGGGGATGAATAGATGGAGAGACAAAAGGCTGTTGTTGCTTTTTACTTACAATGGGAAAACTAAAGCATGCTGACATCATGATGAAAAGAACAAGCCTTCTCATGAGAAAAGTAGAAAATAGTGGGATATAAATGAGCAGGAGGAGATTAAATTGTGGTATGGGAAGGAGAGGTGCTAGAGAAAGCAGGCAAATAAGAACAGGCACAAATGCTTCTGTGACAGAGGAGGAGAGAATTATAGGGGAGGGAAGAGCAGAGATGAGTGAGTCAAGGGCGACTACAATCAAATGTGTGGGAGGATTTGATTAAGTCAGGGAAGTATTTGAGCTGTTTAGCTAGAGGAGGAAGAAACAGGAGAGAGGAGAGAATTGATTTGTAGCAGAAAAATCAGTGTGGTCACAGGAATTCCTTCAGGGAGAAACAGCCATGTCAGGATAGAATGAGAGCCAAAGCAAGGGGTTGGCAACTGAACTTTGAGATGGTAAGAAAGGGGAAATAAGAGTGAAAGAAAGTGGAGAGAGGGAAGGGTAAAAAAGCCTGTGAAGAAGTAACTCATTGCTATTGGGCTGGGAGTTTTGGAAAAGACAAAAAGGGCTGCAGGGTGGCAGGGCTGATGCCGAGTAAGATGGTCAGAACAGTTGGAAAAGTGGAACACCACAGCAAAAGAAAGAGAACAAGCACAAATTAGATTAGTGAGCTCCAGTATGAGTAAATGATGCATCTGAGTAGTAGGAGATGAGAACCAAGACTGGAGACAGAGTGAAATGGAAAGGATGCTGAAACATGGAGATTAGCATTGAGATAGGTCATAGGTATGCAAGATGAAATACTCACATTGCTGAAATCATACTGTCATTCTGATCCTTAGCTCTTGAATGCAGTTGTACAGCCCTAGGCTTTATTTAATGCGTGCTGATCAAAATATGTCCAGTGTAGTAAAGAAAACGTTCATTTTCTCTGGTCTTTTCATCACCAAGATGGATGTTCAAAAATACTAAAGGAACTGTCTTTACAACATCCCTGTGAAAAGAGATTTTATTATCTCCATATAGAAAGAAAACTGAAATGCAACCTAAAAAGTAACCAATAGATTTGGCTGTTCCATCTACAATATTTAGAATCTAACATTTTCAGAATAACTAGCAAGATTCACTTTTTCACCCAAGCCCAGTCATCAGACCAAACTTTGTGATTTCAGTTTGGGTGCTCCAGAAGTGAGAAATACACAAATAGTCTTCATATTTGCAAAAGATGGTTCAGGTGACTTGAGCATAACGTGAGAAATCTGTGGATGGGAAAAGAGATTCCAGTCGTCCAGGGAGGCACTCTGTTACTTTACCCTTGTTGTCATCGGTTTTCTCCATACGCAATTCTCTGTCTCATTCGCTTCAAGCTTTCATATATTTGCAGTGAGTGGAGACTGGAGTCCTATAGAAAAGTAAAGTATGATCATGTAATTAATATTTTACCTTTATATGCAATGGGAAGAAAGTAAAGTTTCTGAACACCTGAAAAGAGAAATGACAAAACTAAATCTCATCCACATGATTCATCGATGGAGTTGGAACTATGTATCTACTACGTACACTCCTGCTATGAGAATGAATTTGAGTTAGTTAGCAATGGTATATTAATTCCCTCTGTGTAGACTATTACTAGTCTATGCAGGATTCTTGATTGCTGTTAGGATTCACTTAGAAATGCTGCCAGCAAAGGTGCAGAAGCAGAGGGCTTCTGTGTTACTTCTGTCTCCTGCAGGAGAGGGTCTGAATTCCAGCTTTGTCTGTCAAGCTCCTTTTTGCAATCCTTCAGTAATTATTTAATCACGTTCTTCTTCAAGCCACGAACTTGAGGATCCATACCCATGTCCTCATGGCCAATCGTCCTTTCCCAGTTTTGGCCCTCTCCTTGCTTAATTCCTCTCTCTTCCTCCTTCCCCAGTTCCCAGTTGTGGTTTTGCTCTTTTAATACCTTCAGTCCCATTCAATGTTGTGTCCCAGCCTCACCTTTTCTTACGTGTGGCCTAGTTTTCTTAGCTTTTCATTTACCTACTATCTCTCTTTTTCCATGCACTATTTCCAGGGCGCTGTACCTGCTCTGTAATAACAGAACTGCAGGTAGAAAAGGAGCCTTTTTGTGTTGCTGGAAGCAGCAGGTTTCCAGCCTTTCCTCCTGTGGGAGTCTCAATCCACTGCTCCTGTAGGGTAATCTTAAGTTATCCCTCCTTTGCAGCATAGGACTTGGGTGGTCCTTAGCTCTGTAGAGTCCTGTCAATCTCCTATTCCTCTTCCTGGCTGCTCACCTACTCCTGCAGCCCCTTCACTGGCAGCTCCCCACCGCAGCCAGAGCGCAGCTCCCCACCAGTGAGGCCCCAGGGAGAGGCACCAGACAATCCCTACAGCCAGAGACCTGGGCTGCAGCATCCTTCTTCTGGACCTCCATGTGGGTTAAAGTCTCTGCTGTCCACAGGGGCAGTTTCTGCACCCCATGATGAAGATTGTGCCATGTGGCTTGTCACCACCATCGCTGTGTAGTCTTCAGTGCAGGTTCTGGGCTCCCTTTGCACGCCTGCTGCAACAACTGCTGTAGCTTTACCTGCCTGCTGTGCTCTGTGAGCTGTGCTCCTGCTCCTGGCTGTAGACCTCACCCACAAACACAGCAGTGTCTCTCTGAGCTTGTTCCAGCTTGAATTCCTCCATCTGGAACATAGGGGTACACGACATCCCAGATGTAAACTTCCTAGAGCCTTGTCAATATATCTTTTTGTAAAACTGTCTACCCTGGTGTAAGTGTGATCAGGAATGGTTTTTCTTTGTTGTTGGGTTTTGTTTATGTTGGGGGGGGGGGTTATGACTACATAATTTTGGGAGGCCATTACTGTTACCAAATTGTTCATAATTTCTAAATAATGCGCCTCCACCAGAAGTTCTTATGACTCTGCTGAGGTGAGTTTGTAAGGTAGGTGTCTAACCAAGGTGGAAAAAATGAGCCAGTGGAGGTGCTATGTTTTCAGTGACTTTTGAAAGAGCTTTTTCAGCAGTCTTTACAATCAGGGGGTGATGGACAACTGATTTCTATTGCTAAATTTAATTTCACTCTCTTATTTCAACCCTCAGGGTTACCATTGTTTTTCCAACCAGACATTTCAATTTTTCTCTCTATTGATGATGCCCCCTTATTATCTTTAAATTTCATAAGTGCTTTCCTATTGCTTGTGCTATCGTGGTTAATGAAAATACTACATACAATGAGACCCAAGACTGACAGTATCTATAAAAGGTTTGTAACTTCAGAGCTTTCAGTTCTGCCATTGTGATCTCCCCACTAGCCAGCTCCCAATAGATATTTCCTCTTTTATACTTATCCCATCTTTTAAATTGTAACTAAAATTTCCCAGCCTGCATCTTTTCATGCATATTGCATGTCCTTGTCCAGAAAAAAACCCTTAAATTGTTTGGTTTATATTATTAATTTTTATAAATTTACATATTTGTATATAAATTATTAAAATTATAAAATACACCTTTTGCCATATCTCAGTTTCCTCTTCTGTGACGTGTCATTAGTTGCTTCTCTGTCTGAAGGGATTTAAAAGCCGGTGTCTCAATTGAGCCTTGTACATGTCTCTATGTACAACAGTAGAATGGGCTTGCAGATATAATAGTATTAAGCTCTTTCCTGGAGGTAATGTTCTGACTGAAGCGTACTATGGCAAACAGACAAGGGGGTGCTTTGACCCAAAATAGTGGCTCAGACCTGTGCTCTCCAAGTTTAGAGAAGGTATCTGGGGATTTTTCATGTTCAACAGAATACACTGGCTTCCTGTTATCTGTCTTAGGGACTTACCTGACAGGTTTATGGAGTTTGAAGGGATCCTAAGCTTCCTTCCAGGGCAGAAGGAGAGAAAATAAGGATTAAAACTCACTGCAGTATAAGTTTCGTTTTGTTCCCTCTCCCTTTTTTTAAACTAAGCATACATCTGCATTTAGAGTTATCTGTACTCTGACACTAGGTAAATTTTGAAAGCTTTGTCTGGAATTCCTTATATTCTGCACGGAAGGGAAAAAAATAATTGTTAAACCCAGGCTAGCTGATGCTTTGTGACTTCATGTTTTTAATCTGAAAACATTTAGAGTGCAGTCAAAATGGGTTATTTGTTCTTATTTGGAGCGCCATCAAGTCATGGTAGGGATAAGGTATGAAAGTTAGTTCTCATGGAACCAAATGCAAGGTTAGCCTTATGCTCCTGTTATCTGAATAATTGAGCTCTGTTTTTTCTGGTGTTTTTTTGGTATTTTTAGGCTACAGGTTGGTCTATCCAGCTGGTTGAAGCAAATCAAGGAAGTAATGAAAACACAGTTGCTTTTTGCAATGCAGTGGAGAAGTAAGTAACAAAAAAAACTTTATGCAGCCAACTATGACATTTCACTTATTTATATTAATCGGATTGGTTATCCCAGTGTATTGCGTCTGGCTGAGATGGAGTTAATTTTCCCCATAGCAGCCCTCATGGTGCCGTGTTTTGTATTGGTAGCTAGAAAGGTGTTGATAACACACCAGTATTTTGGCTACTGCTGAGCAAGTGCTCACACAGCATCAAGGCTGTCTCTCCAACATTCTCCCCTCACCAGTAGGCTGGGGGTGGGCAGGATCTTGGGAGGGGACACAGCCAGGACAGCTGACCCAAACTGACCAAAGGGATATTCCATACCATATGACATCTGCTCAGCAATAACATCTAAGAGAAATGAGGACGAAGGGCGTCATTTGTTACTATGACATTTGTCTTCCTGGGCAACTGCTACGGTACTGAAGCCCTACTTCCTGGGAAGTAGCTGGACATTGCCTGCTGATGGGGAATAGAGAATAAATCTTTGATTTTCCTTTGCTTCTGCATGTGGCCTTTGCTTTGCTTTTGCTTTTATTAAACTGCCTTTATCTTGACCCGTGAGGTTTTTTGTCCATCTTATTTTCTTCCCTTCCCCCATCCTGCTGAGGAGGGTAGTGACAGAGCGGCTTGGTGGGCACCTGGCATCCAACCAGTGTCAACCCACCACACCCTGCATTCCTGAACAGTACCATAATTCCAGTATCTACTTAAATATGGAAATGCTTCTAATTTTGGTTTAAAGATTAAAATCCACAAAGAAATGTTAATACAAAAAATATTTTCTCCCTTAGCTGTTCCCTTTATCAGTGGTAAGTACATTTAACTCTTCAGTGGTTTAGGTTTATAGTGTGTGAAACTTAAGATCCATTTTCTGCCATTGTCTTGGACAATATTAGTGCCTGTGTAGCTCGGAGCAGGAAAAAAGAATTGGAGGAACTGACTGACTGAGAACAGAATTAGTACATACTGTCATGATGAAAAGTGAGACTTAGCAAGCGACAAAACCTCCTTTAATTATTGTTTACCGTTACAGTTAATAGCATGGCTTAATGGGATAGAACTTTTTTTACTTTCTTAATCTTCTTCAGATAAAGAAATTGTTCTGAAATCCAAGAGTGCTAAGAAATACAAGTTTTTAGACCATCTGTGCAGATTCATTTTCCTTCGTAGATATTCACTGATCACACTATCAAGTTGTTAGCATAAATGCATGCTCTTTCCCCCAGGAAAGTAGTTGGAAAATGGAATGCTGTTTGGTTTTTTTATTCAATTAGACTTTAATGAATTGACTGTATTCAAGGTCAGCCAAGCCTGCTCCTCTTAAAAGAAAAAAAACAACAAAACCCAAATGCTAAAAACAGCAGTTTGATGTTGCCCCAAAATTAACAGTGAATATATTATATATTCATACAGTGTGGATGGTCAGCTTCAAAACATACTCATTCACATACATCTCAGTCGTCTTTTCTTCCACAGTTCATCAGTCTGGACCCCAACCCAATTCTACTAACATCAGATGCATGAAGGTACATTCCACATGTCAGGTTTTCCTCTCACATATTGAAATCTTGTAATGTCCAGACATTCTACATTTAACTTTGCGCTCTGATTATAGGAAAAGCTGTCTATTGATTTTTTTTTTTTTTTTTTTTGGGGGGGAATAAATGAGTTTATTTACAGGGCTAAAAAGATTAATAGAATTAAGCCATTCCTGTTTTGCATTAATTTGTTTAGTGTGCATCACTAGCAAATACTCTTAAAAAGAAAATAAAAACAACTTTTGGTTTTCTTCAATCAAATAAATGGGAAAGCATTCATAGGACAAAATGTCACAGCAAACAAAAGACCAAAAAATGTCATAAATTTGCAAATAACTAACATATTCAGTCTTGCCAAATGAGCATCCTTCCAGTCCCCAAAGAATCTCAATAACTGGCAGTTTTATACATCAGAGGCAAGTTGTGTAATTCAAACTCTGACATGCAGATTTGCACCTTAAGCATGTAGCTCAAATAGAAACCAATCATGTTTTTCTTTAGGTAATATTTGTACAGGTAGCAATTATAATTGAAACATTTCATTGTAAAGCAGTTTTCAAAATCCCTTTATCAGGTTACTTCTACAATTATGGACATAGCTATAGTGGATGTTCATCCATGGGTGGCTTCAGAATATATCCTAAAGTAAGCTTGATACCAAAAGATGCCAAGCTGATAGTCTCAGGGTTCAATGCTGCAAAATGCAGAGTTCCTCCACGTCCTACTGACTTCAAGGATGTGCTCTGCACTGCAAAGAAATACACAGCATTATGAAATGCTGTGAAATAACAAATCCCTATACATGTTAGTACTTCCTGCCTACGCTGAGTTGTTGCAGCACAGAAAGCAAGCAGCACAAGATTTTCCTCATGTAATACTTGTGTAGTACTTCATTTATGCCTTGGAAGACCTAACCTTTCAAAATTTTGCGATTGGCATGTTTCACTCACCTGCTCAGCCCCGAAGCCCTTTAATCACTTGAAAACAATAGATGGCCATAAATGAGCAACACTTTCTGGAACTGAATGCATTTTTATCTGAAAAGCATAAAAAGCAAATTTCTGTCCCCACATTATCCTAAAATATAGATAGTGTGAGGGTAGGGAAGGAGATGAGGTCTGCTTAGTTTCGAAATGACTGCCAGTAAGTTGAGGAGGGGCTTCATGCCCCATGTGTGTACATAGCCCATTAATCTGATGCTGAAGAAAGGGTAGTGAAGCTTCCAGTCTTACTCAGTCCTTGGCCTTACAGAAACAGGTTACAAGAGTGAATTTGGTGTTAGGGGAAAGCTTTATGTGTACCTTGATTACAAAGAAAATAGACTGACATCAACTACATAGGTCGCCAAAGTAGCCTCTGTAGTATAATGATTTTTTACTATGAGTATACATCTATCTCATATTGGAGGTATCGTCGAGCCTCATTTCCTCCTACCCCACTGAAACATCATGCCCCCTGGTTTTCATTATAAGAAATGGGCTGCTTCATTGGATTATTAATTTTGGAAGCCTGTTTTTTGGTTTTTTTTCCTTCCCATGCTATAGAAATACATGGCATAAAAGAGTAGCCCATACTGTTGTTTAAAAGACTTGGGCAGCAGCCCTGAAACAGGAGGTAATGTAGTAATGAAGAACTTTATGTGAGAGAACTGTGGCTCAAAATACACTTTAATCAGAGACAGTATAAAGCACTGCTAACTCAGAAGCTACAGAATGCTGCTTAAACTAACAAACAAAAAAGAATGCAATATGCTTGGTACAGGATGTTTGAGTTTAGCTACTAAGATATTCAGGCCAATTAGTGAAATTTAAAGCTTCAGCTAGTATTATATGTACCCTTACCTGCAGCTGTAAAGTGTATTTCCTTAAAAAGCAAGTTTAATCTCAGATGACAGACATAATACCTGTGACCAGTGTTCATTAGGAAATGGTACCTCAGGAAGAATTAGTTTCTGCAGATCTTTGGTAATTGGAAGGAGGAGGGGCAACATATTTTATAGGTAATGGTATATCAGAGGGACTCAATGACTGTAACAGTTGTTGCTCTCTGCAGACATTTGCATAAATAGTCATGGTTTTAGTAATGAGGATTTCAGATTGGATTCTAGAGCACCGTGAAAATAGGGACTTCTTAAGATTTTGCATAGAAAGCATGCTCCTGTATTCATTTTGACCAGCTATCCTAGTCACAGCTGTCTGTGCACATGCTCTTGGTTAGTTTTAAGTTAAAACTGTTATTTAAGCACTTATTTGAGCACTCTCATTTCTACCATGCTTGGTGTACACTGAAGTCTGTGTTTAAACTCCTTTTGGCTTCACTGAGGTCAAGCTGAGCAGTGATTCTGTGAAGTTCATGAAGATTCTACTGATTTTCCTATTGAGTAAAAGATGTAGTTATATGCACACTACCTGATATGTAGGTATCGCACTAATATATGAAACAAGGATTGAGGTGCTACTATTTTCCCCTCAGTTTGCACAAAATTTTATTCCAAACAGCTCTCTATGTACTATTATTGTAGGTATCTTGTAGCATTTTTGTTCTGTTCTTGTAAGAGAGTTGAAATGCATGCCTATTTAGACATAATTTCATCACATGTTCTTTTCAGAATAAGAAAAGCCTATCCTGCTTTTGACTTGAAGACAAACACCGGGAAAATCTGGAGTGTCACAACAAGGTACCCAGACCATATCCTTGGTGAATCAAAATTCAGAGTCAGTGTTTGGACAGATTCTTCACTATATCCTCTGCTTATTACACAGCATGGTAAGCGATTGAGGAGCCCACATCATTCCACAATTCAGTTCCATGCAGAAGATAACAAAATGCATTTGTTATCTGGAAAGATACTTGGAGAGCAAGCCTTACATGAGTCTTGAGTGCATGCTTTGTCAAAATTGCTCAGTATATTTGCTATAAAATTAAAATCACATTAAATACCAAACTTTGCTAATGTATAGATCTCTACTTTCTTTAATCACAGTTGGGACCAATTCTGGCAGTCTCAAATAGGCTATCACTCAGACTTTGATCTAGAAGGAATTTAAGCTTGTGCCTAATTCGAAGTGTAGGGGTAGTCCCAATATAGTCGTGGAACTTTTCATAGCCTTGACTCCGTTACTGAATCCAAGACTTAAGAGTCCGCAGTTCCTAAGACTCTTCTCCACCCAAGGTTATGTACAGGTCGGGGAAAGTACATGTCGGTCATAAAATGAAAGGAGAAATTCCAACTGCATGGATACAAAAGGGCAGTAATTAAGAATTGGAATAGTTTGCCCACAGAAGTTGTGGAGTCTCCATCCTTGGAGGTTTTTAAAGTCTTACAGGACAAAAACCTGAACAAGCTGTTCTAAATTCAATGTTGATCCTCCTTTGGGGAGGAGGCTGGATTAGATGGACCTGCTGAGGTCCTTCCCAACCTAAATTATTCTGTCACTAGTGACTGTGGGAAGCTGCCACTGCTCCTGTGCATCCTGTATCTGTGGTGAATGGGAGAATCTTTGATTCCAGCTCTGGTAATTTTTACTTCTTAAGCCACATATACAAAAATGAAATAAATTAGATCTTCTTCTCCCTGTCTTCCTGTGCTGCTTCATTAAGTGATACTCTTTTTTTTTTTAATGAATCATTTCTTCAGTTGTCGAGGAATTATTTAGCTGTAACAGGCTGAGTATTAGTTTGTTTGACAGGTTGAAAACTGAAAATCCAAAGCTCTAAGAATATCAGTTAACATATATATACATATATATATATATATATAAATCTTCATAAATAAGGTAGCCAAGGCTTACACATTTATTCATATCAGTTTGGTTGCTTCATTTGGGAGCTTCTGCATAGTTATTGGAAAGCCTGGAGAAGTAGTAGGTTGTACCATCTTTAACCAATACTTTGTGGATGCCATGAAGCAAAGGGCCAAAGGTCCTGGGACACTTGGACTAGATGGTAGTATTTCCAGCACTTCTGTCAGCTAGGCAAGAGATCTACATTGAAGTTCCCTGTAATGGAAAAGTCTTAACTACTGGCAAATGTTTTGTCATATAGCATCATTCACCCTACAGATTGTTCGATTTTCAGTCTGCTTAACTTCATTTACAAAAAAGCTTTAGAACACAAAGCTAAAACTGAAGGGGATATAAGAAACAGTCCCTATCCTAAACTTGCTTACAGTCTGAGTAAACAGCAAGATATAGTTGAAGTGGGGGGAGGGAGTACACTTTTTTGCCTCATCGAATATAAATAATTGTTATGTCATGCAAAAACGTTTGGCAGAGTAAGGAAAGGAAAATGGGTCTACAAAGTGCAAATGAATAATACTAGCAAGTTTCAGAGTTTTTTCAATGAGTGACCTGAAACAAGTGCATGTTACAATTTTAATTCAAGATTCTGTGGCATTCTTCTTTTTCTGGTGTGTATAAATTTAGCAAACAGGCACAGCAGTTTATGTGTCAAACCAGCTATAAGGAGTTGCTTAAAACAGCGAGTTGTCGAAGGGCTAGATGTTTAAAACTAGTAAAACTGGTAGAAAATGTTCAATTGAAGTGGCTTTCTGAGCAAAAGAAAAATGGCTTTGCAAAGAAAACGAAATTTTCAGAAGGCGCTTCTGAATCCTTTTTTCTACCCCCCCCCCAAGGAAAACCAAACCTTCATCCTAGCTACCTAACAAATTGCTAATTTCCTCTAAATGGACATAGATTCTGTGACTTGTAAAGCATTTGAAGCAAAATTAAAAAAAAAAAAAATCAGGTGTGGCTTGATCTAATTCCTCTTGATGGAGCTAGTCTGCAGCAGTAGTTAGGCATTACAAAGAAATTCTTATTTTCTTTCCTCAAGTATCTAGACTGGAATTCTCTAGCAAGCTACTATTAATTTTTCTTGCTATCTTTATTTACAGCTGGCTGTATCACTCATGACTTAATTGTAGAGATCCTCCGTTGCACAAATCGATACCCAGTCCAGGAGGAATGCCTTCTAAGTGTTTGCGGGTCTGATGAATTCTTACAAAAGTAAGTATCTCATTACGAGACGGTATTGACTATGTGTTATGTAATAAAAGCTGTACATTTAATGTGCTCTGCTTACATGCCATGTAAACAGAACCATAGGGAGAGTTAGAGTATTATGTTCCAAACACTTAATGTATAGTTTCTGAAACTCCCAGAATACACAGTACTTATGTTCTACAGAGATGATAGTGTGCTCTAGTGCAAGGATTCAAATAAAATCCTGGCTCCTTTGTATAAGCTTTGTGCAGCCTTGAATAATTTGTTTTACTTCACTGCCCTTCTGGTCTTTCTCATCCGTAATACAAGGATGCTGCTACATCTAGTATCTCATAGGAGTGTTATAAGCATGAAGGGGTATGCATATCCTCAAAGGTGGAAATCACCAAAGAGAGGAGAAACAGTATTATACAGTTATATAGCAGGTGATTTTCCTTCATATCCAGTTGCAACAGTAGTAAAAGCAAATGAAGTCCGTGCTTTGGTGCTGACTGCAAGTTGGAAAAAACCACATTTTTCATACAAACAGGTCTTTCTGAATGTACATAGTCTACAAGTAAGGAAGTAAATGCTCTGATTTGCATTCATTTAGGTAAACTCTTGTGATGGTTGAAAGCACTACTGGACTCAGCTAGTTGTTTCTTGCCCCTGGCAACTTAAATTCACCTGTCAGCAAAAGTGAGCAGATTTTGTGTTGAAGCAGCTAAAGTGCAGGCTGTAGGGACGGTGACTTTCAGCAGAAGGGGAGAAATTGGCAGTTCTCTGTGGTAACATGTTACGCTAGCACTGCAGGAATCACAGCTCATCTGCTAGAGACATAAAAAATGTTAGATAAAATAGTATACATCTATAATTGAAAGGGAAATTTTTAGAAGCAGTCATATTTGCAGTTTAGTGTAAAGATTACCTGTACTAGCCCAGAGCAAGTCAGCTTGATTAATGGAAGTAATGTAGTTGTGAGAGCGAGTGTCACACTGTGTAAATTAACTTTGTTCTATATCCCGCTTGGACACTTGTATACTTACACAGGTACACAGGTCAAATGTTCAGATGTTTATGATGAATTATGCTTTGCAACTAAAGATGGAGACTTCAACATTTCTAGGCCCACTCTTCACTTGTTTAAATCTCTGTGAAGCAGGAGCTGGTACAGCAGAGCGTTGCGTGAAGCATTACGATGCTAGAACTGCTGAGCAGAGAATCAGGTTGTACACAGATCTGTTAATTATGCAACAAGACCAGGGCATTTTTTTTTATTTTCAAGACTCTCTTCTCATTTCAAACTAATTGCTAAAGAAAATGGAAATAATGAGTCATTGTATTGAGGCTGAGCTCAGTGCATTTCCGCACAGTGTACAACACGTTCTAAACAGTTTTAGTTTAACTGTTGGGACGAATGCCTCAATAGTGGACTGTTTAAATTCCTGTACTTGCAGAATCTCTGCACGTCTCATTAGCAGTGAAACAAGGTCAATAATGTTCTCAGCTTTTTTGCCTTTGCTTCTTCACTGTCATGCAGAAAGCACTGAGCTGCACTTCTGGCCTCAGAAGCTTGTAATTCTATACCATGCCATAGTTTCGGCTCCCTTTCTTCTGCCTCCTCATCAGAGTGCTGTATCTGAGCTTTGAATCCTCAGACCATAATGATCCCTTGGGTAGCTTAACACGGCCTGAGGAGTTGCCTCAGGGTGAAATTTTTCCTATGTTTGGGTTATCTTTTAGTGCAAATTGCTTTCCTTGCAAAGTTGCTAACAGACTGATTTGATGTACTTGTGCAGAGCTCTTCCTCAGAAAAGTATTTGGAAATTGTTCAGGGATGAATTCCAGTAGAAGTTCCCCAAGTTATAAGACAGCAAAGGAATAAATACTCTGATGCTCCTGCCTTACTGTAATCCAGAAAAAAAACTAAAGTGAAGCCAAAACAGTGACATGATGAATTGTTCTCAGACCAGAGTGGTTTAGTGAACCAGACAACTTTGTGAAGTTCTGTCAGAAGCTTTCATTTACTGTTATACTGGACTGTATTAATGAGCACTTCACCCTACCTCCTGCAGAAGCACCTGAAAGACTTAATTTCTAGAATCTATTTAGCTTTGAATGAGATGGGGAAAAAATACTTGTGCCCTAATGACCATTGCACTCAGCACCACAAGATTTCATCATCCATTATTTCCTTCCTATGGAGATATCCTTGAGCTCACATCCTATCTGACTCACAAGTAGAATATCAGATTTCAAATATCCAAGTTTAAAAACAAATCAGAAGGCTGCATATAGGCTGCAGGTCAGTCCATAACTAATAGGGCCATCTGTGAAATTCTGATTTGGAATCTCATTTTGTTTGTGGTCTTTCAGTTCATTTTGTTTACTGATCAGATATCCTGGCATTGCCTCAACCTGCAGGCTTTCTTTTTCTTCTTATGCTTCCTTTTCCCTCAAGTTTTTCTTACAGTGCCTGTAGAAGCTATCAGGATCCATTGCCACCTTGTCCCTGCCCCTTCTGTCATTGTAAGGTGTACATTAGTTACTTCCCCAGTTGATTTGCTGCAGTTCCTTTTTCAGATGTTCAGTGTAAGTGCATCTGGAGGCAGAACCCTGTCTGAAAGACAGAGACTCCTTGAAAGAAGGGAGGAGTAAACCCCATATTTGTCTCATCAGTTTTTACCACTGTTCACAGAAGTTTCTGATTTTCATATGTATCTATACACCCTCCTTCTTTGGGTTTCCCAGCTGTGGGTGTGCTCTCCACTCCCTTATACTTGTCCTGTTCACAATCATCTTTTATTTTCTGGAGGGACATCTGCTGTTTCTAAAAAATCTTTGCTGTATCCATCATCCAAACCTTCTACATCTACCTTTAAATCTTGCTCTCGCAGTTTCCTATCTTTCCTTAAATTTCAAATGGATGCCCCTAAAAATGATTTTATGGTGCCCTTCATGAAAGATGTTACATAAAAATAAATTAAATTGGGGTTAAGCAGCTTGTGTCAAATAACTCCTAGCTCTCAATGCCAGCAGCAAGCCAAACCCAACCCTTCTCATGTAACAGCAATGAATCAATCCTCCTTTTAGACTCCTTTTCCTTTATAACTACAGGCTACAAACTCCGGACATCCTGAAATGCCTAATAAAACAAAGCACATGAGTGTGTATAAGAATATGGGACACTTTTTTTTTTTAATTGATCTGTCTGCTAGCAAGAGGTTGCATTAATGCAGACCCAGCAAAGGAATGTAGGCTAAGGATATTTATAAACTTTATTTCTAAACATGCCTTTTTGCACAGTTATCTTACTGCTTTGCAGTTTAGCTAACATAGTGAGCAGGGTTATGGAATAGAAAAGTCTAAATGCTTATCATTTCTGCTCACATGCTTGCCTGTGACCTTATTGATGACATTTTTTGCCTTACTAATTCTATTCTCTGAGAATTGAGAGCTAAATAAGAATTGGTTTTCACTCAAATTGAAGTTTAAGCTATTAATTATACACTGGGCAGAGTTATATTCATGCAGATTGGGATCATAAGAAGCAAGCACCTTTTGGATGAATATGTTCTTTGTAAAAAATAAACTTCATTTTCTCTTGTCACTGCAGATTAAGTTTTTCATTCAGAGATGCTGCTCAGCTGAGTTCTTTCTCAAAAAAAAAAAAGTCTGATTGAACTGTGTTAGGATTTGGAGCTTATATCACATCAGAGAACCTTGCTGTGGGGAAGCAAAATCATCTAGTGGTGAGGGAGTCTCAAGTGACTGAGGAATTTTCCCTTTTTCTGCTTCTGATATATTGTGGGACCACAGGCAAATCACGTTGCTTTGACCAGTTCATTAACATGTCTCTTAAAGACAAGGATTGCCTTTTGCTTTATGTCTTTTGTCATTGCATTCTCATCAAACCTGTATTCTGCACTTAGTAATTCCAGCTAAAAACAGGGGGAAAACTGTTGAGTTAATAATGTTGTAGCGTTTTTATTTGTGTTTCCTTTGCAGAGCTCAGAGCACTGTAAACCAGTTACTATTAATCATGCTATCCTCCAAAGGGGGCTATAGTACTTTTATCTTAGTAGTACAGGTATAGTAGCAGATCTGCATAGTGTGTTGCAGCCTGAGGTATAGCTAAAAGGTAGTCTGTCAATCTATGGCAAAGCTACATCTCTGTTTCTTGTAGTTCACTTCTTATCTAGACCAGGCTTCTACATTATTTTATTGAGGCATTAATCCATTTTGTCTAGTCTCTTGTGTCACAATACCTGTCAAAACTTTTTTCTTTGTATTTGTGCAAATTAAATCCACTTATGAAGTCAACTGTATGAAGTCAGCTGTATGGACCGTACTTCTGACTGCAATGTTTCAGGCAGCATTGCTATGTCAATAAAGGATTTGATGATGTATTGTATTTTCCTGACACAGCAGAGCTAACACAAACAACTAGTGTAAATGTAGTTATAACCACAAAATTCAACTTCTGTTGGTGTAGCTTTTTTTGCCTGGAAGCATGATGATATGAAATAATTATACTTGCAAAAGGTAGTTTTTATACATCTGTGGTACAAAATTGTAACTACAGAGGAGGGTATACTTATACCAGTTTACATTAGCAGAACACTCCTCTGTATAGGTATAGCGATACCAATTTCTGTCACTGGCTTGGTGTAATGTTGGCATTGTAATAGGAATCTGTATGCTGGAGGTACCAACTCAAGACTCACAGATGTGTTTCTTTGTAATTTTCTTGTCACTACACCTGTCCTAAGTTTGAAGGTAAGGCAGAATGGAAAGAGCAGGAATAATGGTAGGGTAAAAGGCAAAAACCAAGTGTGACGCAGTTCTAAAGGATGCAAGGATCATGGGAGAGTTCATCATTAGAGTCATGAGGCCAACGTGATTGGGTAAAATAAGGAGAGGAAGATGATTCAAGAAAGGTATGAGTAAGCACAACACAGATATGAGCTGAGGAGCAACAGAAGAGAATCTATGAATTGGTACAGTGTCAGGAACTAGGAATTGATTTCTTGGACTTTTGCTTGTAAAGGGATTTGAGAAGGGTTGAGGCAAAACAGTGATACGCTTTCCACCAGTACAGGTATTTCACTGTGTTGGTGTTAACTTCGCTGTCTTACATCTGTACTTCATACTCTTAAAATCAAGGAATTTTGCAAATATATGGAAGCACTGTCAGAGGAGCATGCTTTAGGTATTTGTTACGTCAGATGGAAATAGGTTTGTCCTCTGTGACCTTTAATATATTTGTTAAAAAAAAAAAATTAATTCTTATATCTACACTTTATACCTTTTGTGACCTCTAATGGACAGTATGTATGTTACTTCACTCTGGTGTAGTGTGGGTGCAGAACATATACAAGATATATGAATTCCCTGTAATTGTTCTGAATGGCAATATGTACAGCACATTTATTTAAGTTTAACCATTCATTTTTGCTGGGGACCTCTGCTGCCGTGTGAGATATGGATCTCTCCCCTAAGTCACACTTTCCATGATTTATTCATAGGGTGAGTGTTTTTTTGGAAATAAATCCAGCCAGTTTTATGCAGACATTCCATCAAAAGCCCTTTTAGGTAGAAAGAAACACAGTTTACATCTGAATTCTGGGTTTTCCATGGCACTTGACAAACCAGAAAAGAATCATCTTTCCTTCATGGCCCAAGGAGTTCTGAAATAACTTACCATGCTGTAAATCTGTATAAATATGGGATATCCCTTTTGGCGCTTGTGGTTGCAGGCTTGAAAAAAGCAACATGAATCTAATTGAACATGCACTAGAGTTGTAACTGATGATACGTATGCATATTAACTTGCTTTGGTGATGAATTTGCCTTTGCAAAAATCAGTGTCATTTTTCCTACCTGTTATATCCCAAGGGATTTTTTTAAAATGTAAAAAGATGTTTGCCTTAACTCTGAAATAGGTTTTGCATTATTTCACCTGATTAAAACAAAAAGGGGAAGGGAAACAGTGAAATTATTTTTGTTCCAAGTAATTTTAAGAGTGATATACTAAGGCTGTATTATAACTTAAAAGAAGTTGCCAAGAGTGATAAGTGGACTAGAAGCTACTCTGAAGAGGCAAAGAAGAAAAAGGAATTCCCCTGTCATGGGGTGCTAGAGCATCATTGACCAGCAGAGTAGTTTGTAGAAGCCACTCCAGCTGAGTGAGTAGAGCTCTGTGTCTGACCTTAGCTCTCATATGATTGAGAAGGAGGAAGACTGACTCGCAGCTTGTTTTACCATCTCTATGTGACCTGTACAGGGTGAGATCTTTGATTTCTTTGAGAATCAAGGGCCACCTGTCTTAATGTATGTGATTTTTCAAACTCACAGTTAATATTTGATTTTTCAAGTTGGGTATCAAACACTACAAGTCATTCTGTAGTGGTGCATTCATAACCAAGATACTTTGTATAAATTGCACTAATTTGGTTTTAAGAATATGCATGAATAATCTCAAGGTTTGGGAGCACGTGCAATTTGTTTAGGATATTCTTTCTCTTTGTCATTGTTGTTCTGTTACAGAACTTAATGGTCAAAGATACATCTAAGCAATTATTCTTAAACTGTTTCACCAGAAAATATGCCAGAACCAAACACCATCAGTTTTCATGGAAGTGGGTGCCAAGTACATGTTTTATATTATTCAATCTGCTTTGCACTTAGAATTTAGTCCACCGGTGCTTTTCGGAGAAGGAGAGGAGGGAAGAAAAGAAGGAAGTGGCAAGAAGAGATAACTATTTGTTATTTGTCTCCCCCCCCCCCCCCCCAAACTACAGTAATCATACTTTGGGCAGCCATGAAAGTCTTCGCAAGGCAACCACCTGCATTCAGCTTCGACTACACAACACTAATAATTTGAAGCAAAGTTTGGCTCGAACGGTATGTCGTCTTTTTTTCCTCCTCTTTCTCTCAGCATCCCTGAAGGAATAAAATTCCACCAATCCTTTTATGTAGCAACCTGCAATAATAATCAAAGAGAGATTATTTGCTTTCCTGAGAATGCATATATTATTGCTGAACTGCAGTTGAAATGTACTGGGGAACATTTCTGCTTTGCTCCTGTGCTTATATCTAGTGAGTTACTGTAGAGAACACACAACTGAAAAAGACCAAGGGTTACCTTTTTAGAAAAAAATCAGTTTTGTTAGAATTTAATGCTATTTATTTCAGGTAGGTAGAGAATTCTTATTTTTTATTAGCCTTTCTATGTTTTAAAATATAACAAGAGCAAACGCACTCAAAGTACTGCGTAAAATGAATTAGATCTGGATTCTTGTCATTATTGCTGAAAACCAGAGTAGGCTGATAAAAGCCAGAATCACAGTTGGTGTGTTTATGCACGTGTGATGCATACTTGTATGTGTGTATGTTCTTGCTTGCAGACATGCAGAAATATTGTTTGTAAGGACATGTAGTCCTTACAGAAAACATAATTTTATCAGATTATTTGAATTTAAGCAACCTTGCAGTGGATTACTGAGCTTTAATGGCACTGACCTATGCTACTAAATGTGAGCTTTATTCCCAGTGGACCACCTAGAATTACTTCCAACCCAAAGTTTGCAATACAGCAGAAACTTTGTTCTGGGCAGTGTTCACTGGCAGTGTGTTGACTCTGTTCACAGATAGTACCAATTACCTGCTTTGCGTTGGTATGCTATCAGCCTGAGTCTGTCAATATATGGGTCAGATGGCAGATTTCTAATAAAAAAGGGTAGGGGCTTTATTTTCCTTTCTGTTATGTGTCACCATGTGGAACATCAAGTTCAATATAATATGTTACCTGGAGCATTAAAAAAGGGCTATAATAAGGCCAAATATATATATATATATACACATTTAACATTTTAATGAGTTTATAGATAAAAGCAGAATAATTTAGTGCTGATACATACAATCCTGGCTTAAATTATTGGCATTCTTCACTGCCAATATTTTTCACTTAATTATTTATTTTTTAAAAACCATTGATTCTTCTTGGTATAATATTGTCCAAAAGAAAGTAAATTAGGAAACATGTAAGCTTTCATCGCTAGGTCACTTCTTCAAAAATTATTCAGATCAATGAATTGCCAAATGCTTGCTCTCAGTCTAGGGAAAATAAGTTGATGTTTGAATATACCTTCAGAAGGGGGTAAGCAAGTGTCCATCTCATAAGTCCTTTCTCACCCCATCCCTGTATCACACCAGCAAAAAGAACACGTCCAGTGACCATTGGAATGAGATTTGTCTTGGGAAACTATCTGTGGTAACTTGTTGTCATTTAACTGCAAGTTGTTGAGATCAAGGCAGGCATCACCATGTGATTTCATTGTCTGCATTAAACAGAGATTAGGTGGTCATCATAGTTCTTTCTGGTGTTAGATCTGTGACAAGACATCCTGTGTTAGAACATGGAAAACTTCATTTTTCATATAGTGCTGCCAAAGAAGGGCTTGAAAAGAGAGGAGTGTTGGTGATTAGATATAATTATGGATGCACATAAATATGTGTAATGGTGGAAAAATTATTTACCTTTTTTAAGTCAGCATCTCTATCTTTGAAATAGAATAATATATTATTGACTCTTCTGCTGGGCGGTTGCAGGTTTCCAACATTTTCTGGCCTGAGAAATCAGTGACACGAATTAGAAGTTTGATATGAATGCATTTTGCTACTTACATGCATATAGCATGTGGTGAAGGTGTTTTTTACACGCATATACTGAAAAGAGGGAGACTCAAACAACTTCCTGACAATCTACTCTTCAAAATTCCAAGCCAATGACTGGTTTTCTACAAGTTACTCTGTCTTCAAACAGAAAAACTAAAATATAGAGCAGATGACCTATTTGGTCTATATAGATCTGCTATTACTATAGATCTCCAAAACTATCTGCTTTGGAACCTAATGATATGTTCAGGAGTCTCTTCTGAAACTTTAAAGCTTGTTTGTGTGCTAAGGAAGCAAAACTCTAGACCAATGCCATCCGGAGACTGCCTTCATGAAATCGGGATGCGTGGTTAAAAATATCTGTCTGTACATGCAAATTACTATTATTATGCTTAATAACCAATATAAGTGGATACTTATAAGCAATATAAAACTATTATTTTTTTTTAACCAGACAGTGTACGAACTTTGGCCAATAACTACATGTACTTTTGTGAATTCAGCTGAAAAATGTATTTTTTTAAGGTAAATGCTTGCTTCCTTTCCTTTTGTGGGAAGCTGGCATTCTGTTATGAAGTATTCAGAAAGAGGAAATTGTCTTGAACTGAGCAGTTACAAGAAATTTGGCCTGGGGCTTTACATGGAAACACAGGTCTTTCAGCCACTGGGTGACCTTTAATTTGATTTTGGTTTTTTGAGACGTGAGATTTATTGGTCTTAACGTGCTTGAAGAAAATCTTTTAAGACCCCAGTTTTCAAGATGCTAGATTCCTACTAAACTTCCAAATAAGGCTTATACAGGGAACGTTAGTTTATCTTTTTAATATATAGAAAAATATTGAAGCTCAGTTTTATAAAATCTCTAGCCAGACAATGAGCTTCTGTTGACAGGATTGGGAATTCTGCACCTTGCAGATTTTTGTCCACACGTTGAAACCTTCAGAATGACAATGAATGTGGAGAAAACCCAATAGTCTCTTGTCAGAAGGTGGCCCAGTGTACACAGGTTACAATAATACTGAATAATGACTGCTGCACACCTGTCCTGCTCTGTATTTTAACCTAGATGGTCTCTAAAAGGCAACTCTTAAGCGCAAACTCCACAAGTCGTAGGGGGTCAGAAGTGTTAAATTCCTAGTGGCTAGGTGGTGTTTAGGAAAAAAATGTGCAGTTGAACAGCGTAGAAGCAGAAACCTTTATCCAGATACCATTTCTAGGGAGTGCTCTGTCTATTCGAGACACCCATTTTTTCAGAGTTGTCCCCACATACTGATTATCTGGGGAAAGCATGAATCTTTGCAGTGGAGAAGCAGCAAAGAATGCTTATGGGTTTCTAACAAGAGCCTTACTTGCTTCCAGAAAGGAATTTTTGAACTAAAGCAGCCAGCAAGCAGTATTTCCTGAAAGTTCAAAAACATTTTTATTTTCATATATACCAGTGTTAATGGTGTTAATGTTTTCCAGACATAATGAGTTAAGTGTTAACTTTCTGGGCATAATCACAGATGAGAAAAGTCAGTGGTCCATCATGATAAGAAGGGGGTGATTTTTTTTTTCCATTATTTAAAAGTTCGTGACTTTGAGGTACTGCACAATCCCTCTAAAAATAGAAGGGAGCCTTTTCTTGTGTTTAAACATCCCTTGAAATTGTGCTACTGTTTAATAACCTATGATAGGGTTTAACCAGGAAGGGTGGCATGTTAAGATATCTTAACTCTATCCCAGCTGAAACCAGGACAGAATTATTGATCACCCCTTTATTGTAACTGACATGGCTCTGAAAGCTTCAGGCCATGAAGTTACTTTAGGTTACTAATAATAGCAAAGAACATGAGCAGCTCTTGGGCTGGCATAAGTCATAGACCCAGAGTTTTATTCCAGCTCCAGGGCATGCTTGTGACAGAGCACTCGTATCAGAAAGGAGAGGTCCTGCTCGCAGGCTGGAGCACCAGCCCGTCTGTCAGGACCACAAAAAACCTAATGGAGGAGACACAGACTGTGGTGCATTGAAAAATGCAGTGTTTCCTTTTGCTCTGGGCTCAGTTCTGTAGATCTCTTTGGGTCTGCTGAAACCTGCTCCAGCCACACTGAATTCAAGGATCTGAGGTAGTCAATAGTGAGCTCACGGTCAATTTTGTTGTTGCTGTTCTCTGAAACTTGTGGCTTTCGACATAAAATGCAATTAGAGGCAGTTTATGGAAAAAAAAATGCCCTCCCTCAGAATTCAGATGAAAAGATGTGAAAATAGTGTGTTGGGTTTTTTTTTTTTATTGTGTGTTTTTTTTGTTTTTTAAAGGCACAAACTTTGAGACTTTTAAGATTCTTCAGCTAGCTCAGTTATGCACATATGCAGCTAATGTTTATTTTTGTGAGTTAATCTGCGCTTACTCTTGGGGACAATTTGACCTGTGATCTATAGAATCCTTCCAAATTTTGAACTTTGGAACATGTTACTTTATAGAAAACTCCACTAAGATTGTAGTTTAACTAGTGTCACAGAAACACATGAATATCTTGACAGCCATTCTATATAATAATCACCCATATGTATTCAGGTGCTAAATAATTCACATACATCCACCTTTTGCCCTAGTCCATCAGATTCCCTTAAGTTTCTGGGTTCCGATCAATCACACATATCTCTTGGCTTCAGGGCTCCCTCCTTCCATCTGTGTCACATTGTTTCCGAGTTCATCCCTTCCTGTCTCAGTGTATGAGATCAAGCAGGAAGTTTGTCATTTATCAATCTTGTTCTGTAGCTCAAGCCTTGTCCCTGTGATTGCTCAGTTCAGATGTGCTCTGATATTTGTAAGGTCTCCAGAGGTGGCAGTGTGACAGCTAAGTATGCAGCAACATTATAAAAATGCAGGGTGGATTTTGCAGAACACACACACTACTCATCTGTAGGGTAACGTGACTTTAAAAAAGAAAAAAAAAGCGTATGACCTGCTGAGAGTCAAGATGGATGTGATTGACTGTTGCTCTGTCTAGAAGTAGCAAATTCAAATCATGGTATTATAGCAAGCAACTATAGAGTGCTGGGCGCTATCTTCTTCCTTGAATGCATGCTGCTGATTATGGTAGCACCACAAAATATTCTCAAGGCTTGAGATGTTATACCAGTCCTCTAGCATGCACTGAAGCAGCATGATAGCTGTCAGAGGTCAGATGCTCCAAGCCTCAGAGTATGGCATGGGTAGAAGACATGAGTTGTGAGCAAAACCAGCAGTTATTAGGTCAGAGCCATATGTAGCACACTTAGTGCTGTGCTCAGGCAATGGGCATCCATGAGCTATTTTTTTGTGTCTCATAATCATTTTTGTAGGAGCAACTTAGTGGGGTTCAGAGACAGATTCTGAAATCAGCTGAGAAAAGACCATCTACTCTCAAATGCATCCCCTAACTCCCAAGTACTTACTCTGTCTTCTCCTCTGTAATAACACGTAACACTCTCATGTCAATACACTGAGATAAGAAACACAGGTGTTTGTATAAGATCAAATGCCCAGACAAAGTGGAGCTTAGTGCTTATATCTGAGACATACTTTCAAGGCTTAATGCATGAGAATGTTTTTCTTACCTTCGCCCCCTTCCATTTCATTCATCTAATTCATCTTTCACTTGTTGCCACTATGTGATAAAAGAGATAGTAGCGCTCCAGATGGGAATTCTTTACAGAACATCTGTAATGTATCTAGCTCAGCAAGAGCCTGCTCCTTAAACAGTGCTATTGCCAATTCTCTATATAGTGATCTAAAGCAGAATTAGCGTGAGTTAATTCACATGTTAATTAACATATTTAAATTGAATCCAACCATAGCAGAGACACAAGTTACTTAGGAATGCTAGCTTTAGACCACTACTACACTTCAATTAACTAGAAAAAATTGCTAGTGTGGTCACCTTCTTCTGAACAAGCTTTCAATATTTGAATTCACTAACGCTCAGAATATTAGGAGAAGGCTGTTTTAGCCAAGCAAGTGAAAGACTGGGGTTTTTTTCTTTAGAAAATACAAATTTGCTTTCAAATTCAGTTTTGGGGGGGGGGAATCATCAGTCATATTTCATCACTGTTGGATTATGTTGTTCTCTCTTTTAATTTTGTTTATTGTATGAAAGTGATAACAGGAAAATATTAACAGAATTTTTTTTCCTTATTGAAATGTTTTGTTTAAGGTTAAACCATTTCTTCTACCCTTCACAAAGAACTTGAAAGTTTCATTAGTTTAGTTCAACCTAAAACGGAGTCATTTTTCAGATTCTTCTGTATCCTTGGTCAGATACAATTTCTGTCCTCTGCTTCACCTTTAAGCGAACAAATATTTTAGATCAGTATATATGTAAATAAATAGGCTGTAACCTGGTTGCCTAAGCTATGCCCATTCCAGCCATCATTTACAGTTCTAGAGATACTAAGAAAAATAATGTCTGGCAGCTGTCCTAGCCGTTATGGAAACAGAAGGTCATCACCACTAGATGCCTATGTGCTGTGCTGCTTTCCTGCTTCTGTTTACTTAGTTAATTCTTTTCTCTCTCATCCCCCTACTCCTCCCAGGGTTATACCTGTTTATAAGTGTCATTCCCTTTGTAATCCTTGACCAGTGAATTTGGGGTCATGCTTGTCATAAGCCCCTCAGTAACTTTTCCCTATGAGTTATAGGGATATGGGTCAGATAAAGGGCAGAATTTTCAGGACATGGTGGTCCTTACAAGCTGGCAGTACACACCTAGCATGGGCTGAGCTACCTCCATGGGGTGGGAAGGGTTAAGGCATCAAAGGCAACAAATCCATGGGGCTGGAGAAAGAACTATATCTGAATTGGAACAGGTTTGGTCAGCAGAATATATGAAATAAGACAAAATCACAGAATTGTTTAGGCTGGAAGGGACCTCATGGGATCATTTAGTCCAATCCCTCTGCTCAAGGAGGGTCAGCTAGAGTAGGTTTCCCAGGACCATGTCTGGTGATGTTTTGAATATCTCAGCAGATATTCAAACCTACTCCACAATCTTTCAGGGCAACATCTTCCTGTGTTTGACTACCTTCACAATATTTTTTGTGTGTGTGTTAACGTGAAATTTCATGTGGTTTAATTTGTGCCCTTTGCCTCTTGTCCTGTCAGTAAGCACTACTGAAAAGGGTCGGACTCCCTTTTCTTCATTATTTCCCATCAGATACTTGTACACATTGATAAGATTCCCCCTGAGCTTTCCCTTCTCCAGACTGAACAGTCCTAGCTCAGCCTCTCCTCATACAAAAAATGCTTTGGTGCCTTGATCATCTCTGTGACTTCACTGAGAGAAGTCCCTTCAGAAGGGTTGCAAAGGATGGTACAGGTGTTCTCTGTTCTGTTTTCTTAGAAAAGGAGGGGTTGTGGATGAAAACCGATTTTGGCTTTGTGGCTGGTGTATATTGCCATTGCAAAAGGGTGGCTTCTGCTGTCTGTAACAAGAACGCAGAGGCAGGGTTTACTGAGGCTGGGCTATAGTCTTCATCTATATGGAGCTAGAAGGAACTACTGTGACAATCTGGTTTGGCCTCCTACCTAGTACAACCCAGTGTAACATGAGAGAGAGTCGCCAAATAAAATTTCAGATTGAAACATCCTGAACACTCTGAAAGGACTGTTCCTAAAAGAACATGCTGACTTTGGAAAATACCAAGCAAATCTCTCCAACATGCATTCTTCCAATCAGAATACTATATCTCACTATATGCTTCTCTTCCACAGCATGAGGATGACCAAAGACAGTTCAGTGTGAATCAGCTGTTAGAAGACAGTTGTGCCTGGAGACTGACTCGGTAAGAACACTGGTATTTAACAATATTTCTGTTTGTTCGTATTTGTAGTGAGCGTCTTGGTGCCAAAGGACAATTCTGAGACCTACTGGGGACAGGAATGATACCAAAGAGAAAGAAAATTGGTTCAATGTTTTAGACTCTTATTTTCAGACCTTATTGATTGCTTAGCAATAATAATTTATAGATATGTGTAATTTTTCCCATTCTCTCCCTTTCATGTCATTGAAGGTTTCATTAGAGCTTGCATGTTTCCTAAAGATTCCCAGGATTGAAGGAGTCATAATTCTCACGTGTGCATTGCTCATAGAGAATTTTAAGAGTAAAAACTGTAAAAATAATAGATTTGCTCTTTATTATGCCTGTGTTTTCACAGTTGAGTGATGTTTTCTTTTGTTTTATTTTATTTTTGTAATGGAGGCTATCTATGACAAGTTTTTAACTTGGCATTCAAAACGCATCTGACTCTAAAGCTAACCTACCATGGACAAGCACTAAATGAGATAGATTCCTCATTCAACTTTCATTATGTTCCATTTCATGCACTTAGATAAAGAAGCTGTTAACACCTTTTTTAAATGTTTTTCATCAATGTGTTACAAAGTACTTTGCCAAGAACAGTAAATGCCACACCTGTCATTTAGCAGATGGAGGAAAACAGAGAGGTAGCGACTTGTTCAAGGTGAATATCTGACACTTACTGAGGACCCATCTGGTTTCCTAAGAGCATGGCCCAAATCTCCGTTCTGGTCCTTGCTATAGAGATCAAACCAATCATACAGTCTATACACACACTACTTATTGGCTGTTTTATTTCTTGTGATGTAAAGTATGTGGCCTTTTCTATGGCAAGGAGAATCTTCAGAGGGGATAGGTGATAAAAGATGCTGAGCTGCAAATCAACTATGGTCTGCAAAATTTCCTCTGATACTGTAGGGCAATAAATACTTTCTTTCTTCAACCACAAGCTCAGTAAATATTGAAAAAGTAAAAGCTTGAACTGTGTTGACAGGTAGAAGAAAACATTTTCCAGCAGTGATGACCCAGAAAGATCTGTGGTCAGGCCTTGTGCTCTCAATTGCATTTCTAACTTATCTGAGAAAAAACGGGGTAATAGCTAAGTGACAAAAGTTTGCTGCCCATAATGTGCACAGGAGCTGCCTGTGATGATTTGCAGAAGGATTTTACAATGCCGAGTTGAGTGTGTGATAAAGTGGCAGATGAAATTTTGAGAAGATAAATGTAGATGGGAGGAAACGGTCTTAAATTCACATATGAAATCATAAGCTCTGAGTTGACTTTTACCACCAGGAATGAGTTCTTGGGGTTATAATCAATAGTTCTGAATGTCAGCTTGGTGCCCAGCAGCTGCAAAAAAGATTAAACAAATGTTGGGAATTATTATGAAAGAAATGAAAAAAACCCCAAAAACAATATTATCCCACAGTATCAGTGTAGGGTGTTCATTTATCTTGAATATGGCTGACAGTTCTGCTTCTCCCATTTCAAATATGATGTAATAGAACTTGAAAAATTGAAGAGAAGGGCAGCAAGGATGCTCATAGGAATGAAATGCTTTCCATATGAGAAACAAATAAGTAACAATATTCTTCATCCTGATGAAGAGATAATACAAGATGGATATTTTATAGATGACAAGTATATGAAACTAGGAAGCACAGAGGATGTCTGCAGAAAAGGATCATTTACTGTATCTTCCAATGTAGGATAAAGGGAGTATGAAGTGAAAGTAGCAGATTCAAAACAGACAAGAGGAGGTATTTCTTTGTATAAGACCTAATTAAGTAATGTTTGCACACAGCCCGTCTTACCCAGAACTGTGTCCAGATGGTTTCTGAATATCTCCAAGGAGGGAGACACTACCTCTCTGGGCAATTTATGCCAGTACTCAGTCACCCCCGATACCTCCTGTGTTTTAGTTTGTGCCTGTTGCCTCTTGTCCTGTCACCACTGAAGAGAGCCTGGCTCCCTCATCTTTGCACCGTCCCTTCAGTTGTTTATATACATCAAGAAGATCCCCCCGAGCTTTCTCTTCTCTAGGCTAAACAGTCCCAGCTCTCAATCTTTCCCTGTAGGAGAAAGGCTCCAGTCCTTCCATCATCTTAGTGGCCCTTTGTTTGACACTTTCCAGTACATACATGTCTCTCGTACTGAGGAGCCCGGAACTGGACACAAAATTCCAGGTGTGGCCTCTCCAGTGCTGAGCAAGAGGGGAAGGATCTCCTCCCTCAACCTGCTGGTAATACTCCTCCTAATGCAGCCCAGTATACTTTTAGCCACCTTTAACCTTTTTTGCTGCAAGGGCACATTGCTGATTCATGTTCAGCTTCCTATCCACGAGGACTGCCAGGTCCTTTTCTGCAAAGCTACTTTACGGACAGTCAGCCAGCAGCATGTACTGGTGCATGGGGTTATTCCTCCCCAGGCACAAGACTTTGCGCTTCCTTTTGCTGAACTTCATGAGGTTCCTGTCAGCCCATTTCTCCAGCCTGTTGAGGTCTCTCTGGATGGCAGTACAACCTTTTGGTGTATCAGCCACTGATGTTAAACAGTACGGGACCCAGGACTGACCCCTGGGGTACATCGCTAGTTACCAGCCTCCAGCTAGACTTTGTGCCACTGATCACCACCCTCTGGGCCTAGCCATTGGGCCTGTTTTCAATCCACCTCACTGTCTGCTCGTTCAGCCCATAGTTCATTAGCTTCTCTATGAGGTTATTATGGATGACAGTGTCATGTCAAAAACCTATGATTTCATCATGGAATGTTATCAGGTTGGTCAAGCACAACCTTCCCTTGGTGAATCCATTCTGACTACTCTCTATCATCTTCTTGTAGTTTATATGCCTGGAAATGGTTCTCAGGTTTAGTTGCTCCATCACCCTCCTAGGGTTCAAGTTGAGGTTGATCAGCCTGTAGTTCTCTGCACCTTCCTTCTTGCCCTTCTTAAAGATGGGAGTGACATTTGCTTTCTTCCAATCTTCAGACACCTCTTCCAGTCACCCTGTTTGTTCAAAGATTATCAAGAGTGGCCTCACAATGACATCAGCTGTTCCCCTCAGCATCCGATCAGGGCCCGTGGACATACATATGTCCAGTTTAAGTATTCTTTAACCTGATTCTTATCTACTTCCTAGTTCATTCCAGGGACTGCTTCCTGGAGGCCATATACATGAGACAGCACCACTCTAGACTCCTTGCACATATGCAGTCTTCCAGTGTTGTGCTTAAGGCTTGCTCCAGGATATGCATTATATACCTTCCACTTTATGGTATGGAAATACCGCCATGACAGCCTGCCTCATGTTATGTTGAGTATTTTGAACTGGAAATACCCCTTTTTAATGAATAAAACCCCTACATGTCTTAGTAGCACTGTAGAGTTGGTGCTACACAGGATGCACAGCTGGTTCTATCTAACTGTGGCTTCTCCAAGTATTGTAAACACAAGCCTTCACACACTCCTTAACTTAGGGATCAAAAAATCACTCCCTGGAGCAAATTTTAGCAGTGTTCACATATTATTTTTCCCCATTAGATGCAACTATTTGATCTGAGAGCACTAGTGCAATTATGTTGAGAAGGTACTTAGATTTGAAGCACCACCAAAATTATAAGATAAGCCATACAGTGAAGAAAAGCACTTTTTCTAGTAAGCGGTGCCACCCTAGTATTTTTTTGTGAGTAGGCCAGTCAATAATATCATAACTAGTCATAACAGCTGTTTCTACCAGCACATGCAACATCTTTGTACTTATTCTGCACTGGAATGTATTTTTGCAACATGTGAAAATTCCTCAATTCTATATCTAGCTAGGGCTGTAATAAAGATGGAGTAGATGGATGCAGTAGAATGGGCTCAACACAGTCTGTGCAAATCTGCCTGGCACCTAGGAAGGCCAGCAGATTACTTTCCTATATTGCTGTGCCTTCACAGCTGTGAGTACTTAGGTTAGCTAAATAAAATAACGCTTAGGGTTGTCTGCATGTACTGTAGTTACATTTCTGATTGTAGCACACAAACATTTGTGTTTTAGAGAACATATTGATTGAGATGCTCAGTCTGCTTAGACCCAGTGGAGAAGAAAAAAGAACTGTTTGAATTTCTTGAGATGAATTAAAAAGAATGAACTGGAACCTTACCTCTGTAATAATCAGATTTGCTCTCACAGACAAATGTGAACAAATAAATCCGGCAGCCCCTGCATCACTTCACACACTGATTTTCATAGCTTGAAAACCAAACACAATGTAAATCAATGAGTGCATCAGAACTACAGTCCATCGGCCCATAATCTCAGACACTGAGGTGCCAGTAACTATAACATGATGGCTAGTCTGATCCATGCAGTTAAGCACAGCTTAGTTAGGCAACATGGTGATAAACAGCATTTTAGAAAGGAAACCTAGCATTGCTCTGCAGTAGGTGCTGCTGCCAGGAAACTGAAAAATGAATGCTGTAAGTATATGCTGTATACTTGTCGTCTTCCTCCCATTTAGACTAGCTCAGATGCAAGACTGACTCTCTCAAATTGTTTGTACTTTCCTTTTTTTCTTTTCTCTTCTTTTCGAAACTATTTGTCCTGGTTTCAGCTGGGATAGAGTTAACTGTCTTCCTAGTAGCTGGTACAGTGCTATGTTTTGAGTTCCGTATGTGAAGAATGTTGATAACACTGATGTTTTCAGTTGTTGCTCAGTAGTGTTTAGAACTATAGTCAAGGATTTTTCAGCTTCTCATGCCCAGCCAGGGCACCTGACCCAAACTGGCCAACGGTGTATTCCATACCATGGGACGTCCCACCTAGTTTAGGAACTGGGAAGTGGGGGCAGGGAATCGCGGCTCAGGGACTGGTTGGGTGTCAGTTGGTGGGTGGTGAGCAATTGCCCTGCACATCAGTTGTACATTTCAATCCTTTTATTACTGCTGTTGTCATTTTATTAGTGTTATCATTATCATTATTAGTTTCTTCTTTTCTGTTCTATTAAACCGTTCTTATCTCAACCCAGGAGTTTTACTTCTTTTCCTGATTTTTTTCCCCCATCCCACTGGATGGGGGGGGGAGTGAGTGAGCGGCTGCATGGTGCTTAGTTGCTGGCTGGGGTTAAACCACGACACTATTGTGCTATGTTGCCTTGCTAAAAGCTCCAAAAATTTACTCAATGACAAAAAACCACTGAATGTTCATGGGTTGATTAGCATTGCCATATTTATACACAGTTGTTGTTGTTTAACCCCAGCCAGCAACTAAGCACCACTCTCTCACCTCCCTCACAGTGGGATGGGGGAAAGAATCAGAAGGA